ATATATATATATATATATATATATACACACACACACACAGTATTAATCATGTAGTGTGGTCAGAGAACAAACTGCAGGTTGTGTTGTGTTACTGGTTACTGAAATGAAAACTTGGTGTGTTTACATACTAAAATCAGACATTCTGCACTAGATACRCTTTTTATACCTCATGTTTTAATTCAAAAGTTTTATTTTATGCTGCTTTTTAGATCCTGCAGAAGTGAGTTGACTCAGAATGATGCAATGGTAGCAAACATTTCATCACACCTGACAGAGGATTCACTCAGTTTACCTTAAAAGTCCATTTATCACTGACTTGTCTGTTCAGGTTCAGGTCCATCTCTACTACCAGCAGGCCATCACGGGTCCTAGACAGCCCGGGGGTCCGGCTGCCATCAGGAGCAGCTACGTAACTGGACCCATAGAAGTGTCCAAAGTCATGGTGAGCTGCAAAAAACAGGATTTAAACCAGGACTGTAGTACTTAATGTTCTTAATGCAGCTACAACCCAATAATAAAACATTATTTTCAGTAAAGCCCATTAGTAATTTGGGAATTTTGTATTAAAGTATTAACAAAACAGCTACATTTTGGTGTATTAAAATAAAGAGAAACAAGGTAAAACTCCCTGACATCTCTCTTGACAGGTACAGTAGACAGAAAAACAGCAGGAAATAAATTCAGCCACTGTGTGAAAACTTTAGATCGTACTAAAAGATTTCCAGAAGTGGAAGAAGCATGTGGTCATCACACGTCATTATTTATGAGTCTACAGTGCTTTATTTATAGATGTGAAGAGTTTAAAAAGAGTCAACTCTGCTCAGATTTATCAGAAGTCAGTGCACTTTGTTAATTTAGGGTGGATTTAAGAGAAACTTTAATCCAGTGAAAGAGACAAACTGGGTGGAGGGAGACTGAAACACCTGYGTTTTAATGTATCAGTATAAAAAGTAAAAAGATGATGAAAGTAAAAAGAGTTAGAAAATGTTTAGAAAGTGTAAAGGTTAAAGCTCTTTACTAAAAATGATAAAAACCAGCTGTGATTGTGTAAAAACCACAGCAACAATCAGAATCTCAGAGCGTTTGTCTTATTTGTTTCATGCAAACCATGTTGGTTCTACTGTTTCATGTACTGCTACTACAAAGTAAGAGCACAGTATTACCAGAGGTTTAACTACCAGTAAGTACATTTACTTTGCTACACTTATGCAATTTTTTGGAAGATTTGTTTACAATTTTCAAAGCTGTAATTTCACTTCATGGGATCAATGAAGTATCATTCATTCATTCATTCATTCATTCATTCATTCAGTCAGTCAGTCAGTCATCATTCAAACCTAAAAATGATACTTTTACTTCTTTACCTTAAAAGTTACCCCCTAGTTACACATTGTGAACTTAAATAAGACAAGAATTCATGAAAAGAGTTGTTTATGCACTCTAAAAAATGAAGTGGTGAATTAACTCAGCCTTGAGTAAACATAAAGCAATTTACATATTTTCCTTTAAAAGAAATTATGTAAAATTACAGAAGCATAGAGCTGTCACATGACATAAAATGATTTTTAAACTGGATCTCGTTATAACGAGAAACTATCTTGTAAAAACRAGAAAGCTATCTTGTTATATCAAGATAACCATCTCATTATAACGTGTTRTGGTTWCTTCTGGTTTGTCACTTTCAYTGAAGTTTATTGCCTGGATGGTGTGATGGAGAACACRACTGAACCACTAAACAAAAATGAACAAAACACATTATTTGGGTTTGTGCTCACAGACMTTGCAGCTATTAKGACAATATGYACTCTCTAATCTGAATTCAGATGCTATTATTTCAAAAACCTTATTCAGTAACTTACTTTGTCATTATTTAGTCTAGAAATGTGTTCCTCTTGCAGATTTCTTCTTCGTAAAAAGACATGTAGTGGTTCAGTTGTGTTCTCCATCACACCATCCAGGCAATAAACTTCAGTGAAAGTGACAAACCAGAAGAAACCATAACACATTATAACAAGATGGTTATCTTGATATAACAAGAYAGTTTTCTCATKTTTACAAGATMGTTTTCTCATAATGAGATAGTTTTGTCGTTRTAACGACATATTTTCTCGTTGTTATGAGATCGTTTCCTCGTTATAACCCATCCAGTTTAAAAATAATTGTATGCCGTGGCAGCTCTACACTTACGTATAAAATGCACAATTTACTCTACTTGTTTAGTGGAAGCACTTCATTTCAACACTTCATTTCTCAGAGCGTGTGTAAAAGTACTTTTACTTTCCTGATTTTTGTAAGCAGTTTAGACTTTTACTTTAAGTACTTTTCTTATSAGTGAAATTCCTTTTTTTCAAAATCATTTTCTGTGAAGATATTTTTACTTAGTTATATTTTTCAAGTACTTTACTCTGAGTAATTAACCTACATGTTTTGATGTATTTGCATCAGTTTTTCCAAAACAACAGSAGCTGTCATAAAAAGAAATTTATCTAAAAGTAATGAGTTGATGCATTGACGTCCTACAGAAGTGACAGCCTGCTGCTTTTTGTTGATAGATTACAGGTTTTAGTGTAAAAAATCATCTCTCTACATCAACTTTATTCTGCTTCACCATCATGACAAACTGAAGAATAAAAAATTGAATCTAAGCGGTAAAGCCTTACCTTTTTTTCCATCACCAGATGTGAATTCGCTTTTGAACTGTTCCTGTTGAAAACAGAGTTTTAACATGATTTGTCTGTTTTCTGGTTCATCATCATCATATCTGTGTGACTGCAGAGGACWTTTTTGATTAATTTATTTAACAGGACAGTGCATGTTAAAAACAGTACATCTGTAACATGCCAGAATTAGCCAAAGGCTAGTTTTCATCTGTAGTCCTGGTGGCCACTTGTACCGTGGCACCCTAGGAAAATGTAAAATATTAAACAATTTTACAAACTTACTGTCCCGACACGGTTGATGGCACAGGTGAAACAGTGGTTAGCTATGGCTGCATTCCTGGCCTCGATGGGCCACATGGGTTCACTGCAGAACAAAGAACAAAGTTTAAATACACATCCAGCAGCGTACAAGTACACAATCACATCTCTTTTCCAGGCACAGACTTAAGATATATGTTTCTTTAACATCTCACACAGATTTAAAATGTTTTTGTTTAAAAAAAATAAAATGAAGCCAAAGAAAAAGTAGTCCACACATGAAGATGTATAAATATGGTGCTCCAGTCAATCATCTGCCTGTCTTTTAAAATTAAAATTATTTAACTCTAAAAGAAGAAAGTTACTATAGGACAACAAACTTGTCAGTTGTCCTAATTGGGCACAATCTGCTCAACCGCCATAAAATGGTGATGGGACTCCAAGACAATGGTCTGTGTGATGCCTGCGGCATTGAATCAGAGACCTCTTTGCACTACTT